TAAAACTCCGGCAAATATTTTTAGTTTCTGATAATACCCCCCCTTAATGGCACAGCAATAAGTCTGCGATCTTATAACGCTAAACACTGGGTTTCGATACCCGTGATGGGCACAGCACAGATAGCCCATTGTGTAGATTTTGCTTAAAAAAAAACTAACAGTTTCTGATAAATACTAGAAGTCATATGTCAGGAAAATTTGGTTGTTTTTCTTTTTTTTAGCAAGAGTAGAACACCTCATTCAATACACATATAATTCTGAAAACATGTCTGCAGTAATTTAACTGATAGGTTAAATGTCTTAACACATTAAATGTAATCCTTATATAAAATAACTAATAAACATAATACTTAGATATTATTATTATAATGTATCTATAATTCAAAATCTTAATGAATTTGTGGTTCTAAGCTAAAAAAATTGATTTATTTTACTTGTAAAATTGATAATATGCATACCCCCAAATAATCCAGATTCGTCAGAGTTAGCTTTGTTGAATTAGTCGCTAAGCTTAAGCAGGCAGCTAAAGATAGACGCCATGTTGTCTAAAGATCCATGTGGATAAAAGCAACACTACGCGGCCATCGTCGTTGTTCCATTCTGCCAATTCAGTGGCTGTATCTAAGACAGATTCAAAAAAGCACAGTAAGTGATATTAGTCAGTTAATAACGAAAGATAAACTAATAGTAGTAGTAGTAGTAGTTTGATAGTGTATTTGAAATTTTGATGGTTGTATTTTTTTTTAGTATTTCATTATCATTAGGTGTTTCGGATATTCTTTTTTACCACTGTACCTCGTGCGATGATTGTTGGTGTAAACATGTAAAAATTATTAAGACTGAAATATAGAAAAATGCCTTTAAAAAAAATATTCAAATGACCGTAATTTGTTCTACTTAACTGTGAACTCTGGGATTTAAGAGATTCGTAGAAAGAAAATAACTTTGTATACAAGTAAACAAATTTTTTAGTTTCGATTGGTGCATATCGAGTGGTGGTTTGTAAGTTCAAGAACAAGATTTGGGATATTAAGCCAAGACTCTAGTAGTTTTTTTTTACACATAGAGGGATATATTTTATTCAACATATATTAATATATGGTATGTCTTAAGCCTAACAGTGGAAATTTAGTTTAGAAAAATCAGTAAACTTGTTGGAAACTACATCCATGAATCTATTTTTTTTTAAAACAATTTACGGCCTAACTCTAGGTTGTTTTTCCAGATAACGTTTCGTAATAATTTCCTACTCATAATGTTCATTTTATTAAACACCTAGCTTTTCAAAACTAATATATATATATGTGGATTGTAGCTCAATTATATCTTTTTTAGAGAGAAAATGGGCAACGTAACATAAAAGGATACTTACACATTAAAAAAAATGTATTGCCTCACTTTTCAAACTTTGTCGTACAAGAACGACTTATTAGTTTTTTTCACACGATCTGTTGATTCTTCGAGTTTCTTGTAAAGTGAAATTATTATAAATGTAACAGATATAGTACACATTTCAATGAAGTTTCTTTCACAAACGTTCTTGGATAGAAATACACATTGTTCATAGATGTAAACCTTCGCATATAAAATGTGTATATTATCACACTTATATCATATCATACCTGATATTCTTGGTTATCTTGAGTGCTACTTCGTTCTTGGAACAATTTTGTTTCCTTTTGTTAACATTATAACGAGTCTTTCATAAAGAAAGTACGCAGATATTAAGAGTTTGTTTGACTTAGTTAACTTAGCATCTAACTTACAGTCCTTTACCGATAGCTTCTACGAACGGACAGCTACAGCACTTTGAAGCGTCCGGAAAGCCTAAGCCTAAATGCAACGCCTACAAGCTTGGGCTGCTTACTCAGCAGGTGACATGTAAAAATTCCAAGCATGTGTCACATTTCCATTGTTGGCTGCTCATTTAAATATTTCCTTCTTTGTCCTACATATCAACAAGTCTCACTTTTCCATTGTTAATTGCTCATTTTAAATATTTCATTATTTATAATAGAGAGTAACAATTGTTACATATTCATTGATGGTTATTGATTTTAAATATTTCCTCCTGTATGCTACTATCAACAACTGTTACATTTTCATTGATAGTTATTGATTTTAAATATTTCCTCCTGTATACTACTATCAACCACTGTTAATTTTTTTATTTGGTTATTGATTTTAAATATTTCCTCCTGTATACTACTATCAACCACTGTTAATTTTTTTATATTTGGTTACTGTTTTTAAATATTTCCTCCTGTATACTACTATCAACCACTGTTAATTTTTTATTTTTGGTTACTGTTTTTAAATATTTCCTCCTGTATACTACTATCAACCACTGTTAATTTTTTATTTTTGGTTATTGTTTTTAAATATTTCCTCCTGTATACTACTATCAACCACTGTTAATTTTTTTATTTTTGGTTAATGTTTTTATATATTTCCTCCTGTATACTACTATCAACTACTGTTAATTTTTTATTTTTGGTTACTGTTTTTAAATATTTATTTCTTTATCCTACATATCAACAAGTGCTACGTTCCTGTTGTTGTTACAGATTTTAAATAATCTTTTGTGAAAGGCACAAATCAACACATTTTACTATCACTGCTACTACAGTTATAGACATTTTCAGTCATTATTCACTATGTTTCACAAGAATACCTTTATAAACTTCCCCAAGGAACACTACGTTTCACAAGAATACCTTTATAAACTTCCCCAAGGAACACTACGTTTCACAAGAATACCTTTATAAACTTCCCCAAGGAACACTATGTTTCACAAGAATATCTTTATAAACTTCCCCAAGGAACACTATGTTTCACAAGAATATCTTTATAAACTTCCCCAAGGAACACTATGTTTCACAAGAATATCTTTATAAACTTCCCCAAGGAACACTATGTTTCACAAGAATACCTTTATTAACTTCCCCAAAGAACACTATGTTTCACAAGAATGCCTTTATTAACTTCCCCAAGGAACACTATGTTTCACAAGAATACCTTTATTAACTTCCCCAAGGAACACTAAGTTTCACAAGAATATCTTTATAAACTTCCCGAAGGAAAGTTATTCACTCCTTTATATTTTTTTCCATATATTATAATAACACACTTTATCTTACTAGTTGATTTTGAAATATATATATATATGTTCTCAAGACAATTTAGTTTTTCGTTCATATATTTCATACATGTCAACCAATATTTGTCCCATTCTAACCGTTAGTGAGATTTTCTTACTACAGAGAACTGATGTTTATGAGATAACCATACCATATCTACGAGTTACATACATTTTTCTCGGCGTGCAAAAGTTGATAATTCTGTATTTCTAAGTGGCATATTTTTCTCTGATTATTATAAATTAATATACGTTTATCCTCCTCCCCCTTCCCCTCCTTTTAGGTTCAATAAACGTAGTAGAAAAGACGATAAAATTTAAAGTTTCACTTGTACGCTGTATATGAACATACAATGTAATATAACAGAGTATTTTTACTGTGTATTATAGCATTAACAGCGTACTAACACTGGAACGTTTAATCATGTTCCTCTAAACTATAGAAATGTGCAGGATTTCGTGTTTTCTGCCGTCCCTTGTTATCATTATATTGCGTAAAGTAAAATAGTTTTACCATTGTTATCATTATATTGCGTAAAGTAAAATAGTTTTACCATTGTTATCATTATATTGCGTAAAGTAAAATAATTTTACCATTGTGATCATTCTAATGTGTGTAAAGTAAAATAGTTTTAACATTATTATTGTTATAAACCGTAAATTAAAATGGTTTTATTATTGTTATCATTATAATGCGTAAAGCAAGATAATTTTACCATTGTTATCAACATAACGAGCCAAGTAATATAGTTTTAAATTTTTCTTATATCCTCGGCCTCAAAGGATATTAACTTTTCTTTTAAAGAAAACTAAGAATAAAGAAACAACTATATTTTACCAAAAGAACAGGCGTTCTATTATTCTATTATTGATTAAATTAAAATTTATAAACTACCCATTTTTGCAACTTTCTTTTGTTGGAAGAAATCATATTTTATATTTCAATGTGTTTAGTAAGACATTTTTTTTTATAGGCAGTGCTTTATTGAATGCCAGTTTAATAGAACCATATTTTTATTGCAAGAGCTTTGAGTTTAGCGTGCAGTTGCGTACTAAAGTTTATACGCTGTTAAACGAAGTAATAGGCATTTTTACAAGGCATTATGTATGGGGCGTACATTGATGCGTACTAAATACATTACCGAAGCTTAAAGGGTTTAAAAAAACAAGGTCTACACGTGACTGTGTAAGGTTTCAAACTATAAATTATTTTACGTGTATTCATTCTGCATGTATTTGAAGTTCGAAAGTTTTCATGTCTCATATCCTTGTAGTTTGTACAGTTTCGCTTGTCAAAGGAATATATGAAATTATGTTTGTTTGTTGCTAAGCGTAAAGCTACACAATTGGGTTTCCATGCTCTGCCCATCGGGGACATCGAAACCCAATTTTTAGCGTTATAAGCCCTTAGACTTATCGATGAGGGGGCCCAAAGATAAGAAGACTTACGAATTTTCACTCTTGTAGAGTGCATATATAAACTATTTTAAAAACCAAAGAACTTTTACAAATCTTTATATAAGTTCTAGTTTGATAACACACCTAAAGTTAAAACGCTTTACATTTTTTTATTGGTTTATGGTACAATGTAAAATAATGTAAGCAACAGTTAATTCAATGGTCTACAGTCTTGCACTTTACAGTTTAACTTGCCTTAGTAAACATTCAAAGAATAGACAGTTTCTTACAGCTCTTCATATTTGTATATATATTCGAAACTATTAATGTGTAAAAAAGCCAGATTTAAAGACTTGTAAGGATCTCTCTACTACTTTAAATATATAAACTGTAATTTATAGGAGGAAAGTAAAATACTTTATATTCAAATATTTATTGTGACATACGAAACTCTCGCATAAAAAAATATATGTAATAAAGCCCTGTAAAAACAACAACTGTTTTTCAAGTTATATAGTAATATGTAACTAACAAGCATAAGTACCTGTAAAAATCTTTGAATTCAAACGTATTCACAGACATCATAGTGTATAAGCTACATGAATGAGGACTTAAGAAACATTTAACTGTTACTGTTATATGGTAAACTGTAACTTGTTACTGTTATATGGCAAACTGTAACTTGTTACTGTGATATGGTAAACTGTAACTTGTTACTGTGATATGGTAAACTGTATCTGTTACTGTGATATGGTAAACTGTATCTGTTACTATGATATGGTAAACTATAACTTGTTACTGTGATATGGTAAACTGTAACTTGTTACTGTGATATGGTAAACTGTAACTTGTTACTGTGATATGGTAAACTGTAACTTGTTACTGTGATATGGTAAACTGTATCTGTTACTGTGATATGGTAAACTGTAACTTGTTACTGTGATATGGTAAACTGTATCTGTTACTGTGATATGGTAAACTGTATCTGTTACTATGATATGGTAAACTATAACTTGTTACTGTGATATGGTAAACTGTAACTTGTTACTGTTATATGGTAAACTGTAACTTGTTACTGTGATATGGTAAACTGTAACTTGTTACTGTGATATGGTAAACTGTAACTGCTACTGTGATATGGTAAACTGTATCTGTTACTGTGATATGGTAAACTGTAACTTGTTACTGTGATATGGTAAACTGTAACTTGTTACTGTGATATGGTAAACTGTAACTGCTACTGTGATATGGTAAACTGTATCTGTTACTGTGATATGGTAAACTGTAACTTGTTACTGTGATATGGTAAACTCTAACTTGTTACTGTGATATGGTAAACTGTAACTGTTACTGTGATATGGTAAACCGTAACTTGTTACTGTGATGTGGTAAACTCTAACTTGTTACTGTGATATGGTAAACTCTAACTTGTTACTGTGATATGGTAAACTGTAACTACAAGCGTAAAAACTCGCATAAAACCTATTCAAATATACATATCTAAACTAGCTGGAGTACCTGTCTACTGGATGGAAGTTATGTAAATTCATGATTAATGAAAGGTTATCTTAGAACATAAAAAGGTGCTTCCCTTATATGTAATTGTAGAAAACGCCCATTAAAACTGCAAAACACAAAATGTGAAACCGTAAGTTTGTATGTATCTCCGCATGGACCTAGTGAACCTCCACACCAAATTTGGTGAAGATCCATCCACACCCTGCGAAGTAGTTACATGGACATACAATAGACAGCACTATTATATTTATATAGAAATATAGATACAAAAAAATAATAGACTATAAGCCACAGGAGAGACAACATTGAAAAGTAATTTCACTTTCAGCGCATACACTAATGCTTTTCAATTTAAGTTTTACTAATAAAGGCTTACAAAGAAATCCCTAGCTTTAAAATTGTGCATATATTTCACACTTACAAAGAAATCCTTGGCTTTCAACTTGTGCATATATTTCACACTTGCAAAGAAATCCATAGCTTTAAAACTGTGCATATATTTCACACTTACAAAGAATTCTCTAGCTTTAAACTTATACATATATTTCACACTTACAAAGAAATCCTTAGCTTTCAACTTGTGCATATATTTCACACTGTAACTAAGGTGTTACAAAAGCAACTTTAGAACGATTTGTAGAGCATTTTTGATATTCTAGCCTACAAGTTGATACGCCCCTTTAAATATTTAAAGTCTACGTATGTATATTTGGAACCAGGAAAGTCTTAGATCTTATAGTCGTTCCAAGGTTGTTGTATTTTCTTGATCTTAACAGTTATGAAAATAAAGATAGGAGTAAAAAATCATACAGTAAAATTAGCTTAAAGTACATAATAATTAGTGGTCTGAATAAATTTAACTGATTCGAAACAATAATTATAGTATTTTGTTTGTAATTAAGCACAAAGCTACACAATGGGCTATCTGTGCTCTGCCCACCACGGGTATCGAAGCCCGGATTCTAGCGTTGTAAGTCCGCAGACATACCACTGTGCCACTGGGAAGCATTATATTATTTAATAAGTCGTAACTGCTGTGATAGTATAACTTATATTTCACTTCATTTTAGCGATAGTTATATCTAAAAGTTATATACTAACCACTAAAATAATTCATTGTTAACATTTTACTGTTTTTTTTTTATTTGGTTGACAATGGTTTTAAACTGCTGTAGAATTACATTATTGGTCTTTGTAAAATCGAACTAAGTAAATGTATTGTAAACGAAAAACATTATACGGAATACAAGTTTTAACATGGCTTCCAACCAAAAGCAAGATTATTCAAAATAATCTTGCTTTTGGTTGGAAGCTATGTAAATATTATATTCCATATAATGTTTTTATTCAAAATGGCCAGGTAGAATTCAATCATAATAATTAAGGCTTAGTATAACGTTGTATCTGAAATATGTGTTTTAAAGTACTTGAAATGACTGCTTTATTAAGGAAGTGACGTAAATGTATTTCACATCAGTAAACTCGTGACGTACTCCTTAAGATACAATAGCTCCTAGTAGAGCCAACGGAAGTGGGAGACACGTACCCTCACAAACACATACACTGTTGACGTCATTAATTTAACTTGAATTTTAATAGTGGTAAGACATTAGCACGTCAAACCCGTGGCTGTAGATGTCTGAAGCATTTAAGATGGGTTTGTCATGGGTAGATAAAGAATGATATTTGAATTAGTTATGGCTAAAAACAAGGCTAATTACTCACATCTGTGGCAAGTATGTTTTGGGTAATGTTATCTTTGTTCCGCATTTTATCCTGTTAATGCTTAAAGCAAACAACGTTTTTATTTAAATTTTCTATATATTTTTTTAGTTTTCCTTTTCATTCTACTTTGAAACCTTACGTTTTAATTTAAAAATCAAAACCCGCAGACCAGTTTCTATGTAATATTTTTTCTCCTGCCGGGGATTGTTGTCACAGCAGTTTATACAATTTAAAAGCTCTTAAAATAACCGTAAAAAACACAAACTACTGCTTGCATCAAAATACATGACATATAATCTTTTATTGCGTGTTTATTGCATTATCAATTTGTTTTATGGTTATTTAAGTAGTGTCGCATACTCGAACAAGACTTGCGCAGCCAGTCTTGGTTTTCTGTCGTAAAATAGTCAGTGTCAAAGATGGCGGTTGCCATTATAACATTTTTTTTTTCAACTCTCCTGTCAATCTAAAGTCACAGCACGCTTTGCTTAATCACTACAGTAATTCATTAGCCAAGCAAAAGTTGATTTTTTCATGTGTCGAAGAGCAATTAGTTACGGTAGTTTATTTATTACAAAATAATTTCGAATAATATCAGTAACGTTTAAATACACGACGATTAGGACGTGGTAAATGATAAGCGTTCCTCAACTGTGAAGCCATACATTCGTGGCTCGCGTCCTCTTGCCGGAAAAACGCGCTCCGCACTTTAAAGCTACGCTATAAGAGGGACGATCCAATCCCATCGTTCGGTCTGACAAGAGTTGGCTGCGACTACTGTAAACTTTACTGCCTTCCCTTTAGTCTATTAGTTTAAAATTAGGGACGGCTATGCCTGCCTGCATAGTCCTTGGGTAGCTTTGCGAGCTTAAATAGAAAAAAAAAAAGAGATATACAGTCAACATTGAAATAACCAAGCTTCGGCTTTTAGACGAAAATAATCAAATAATTTGATGAATACATCTTTCTTTGACGAAAAGAATCAGAACTGCTAAAGTAAATTTATACAAAATTTGCCAATAGATAATGTGTTGTTTATCTATTGAAATTGAACTAATAGGACTTATCAATCATCTAATAATGAATATTTAATAGAAACGTCAAAAATAAACATTTTATAACTATCGCTCTACCATTAACACACCTTTAATCAAAGTCAAGCGAACAAATTAACAAGGGCAGAAAATTTATTTTAAATAATATTTTAATAAAGCTTTGCTCTACAATAGATAATATCAATTCTCTGTTATTGTTGGATGTTTTGTGGATAAAGATTAAGATAATCTTAAGATTATCCTTAAGTTCTAAAGAAAAAATTATAATTAAATAAATAATCTTTCATATAAAATATTTTTTTTTTTTACATTTTAACACAAAAATTAGTTATCAAATAATTTCTCATTCAGTTTAACCCTATAGGTCTATGGAAGTAGTTTTGAATAGTGAATAATATTTGACATAACATAATATTTGTCTTTCTTTACTATGTTACTTTATTAAAAGTCTCTGTAGTATAATACAACATCAAGTCAGTAAATTTTACTTCAAATAAGATGCCTCTACTTTTACGGAAACTGTAATGGTATAAAATAATGCCTAC